TTCCAACTATGTGCATGCATCCCTTGGAAATTCAAGTTATTAGAAAGTTCACAGACCACAATTAGCTGGGAACAGGACCCTCTGCTGTCTTGCACCTTGCATAGTCATTTCCAAGGACTGCTGTAGAGCTTTCTCACAAAGTATTCTTTCTTCAGAAACTGACAGCTTGTCTACCATATATGCCTGTTCAGTGGTTCTCCAGTTTGACTCATTCAGTTGGCATTTTCCAAATGAGATTTTATTGCTTGAAATGCTTTATTGTGTCTGAAAAATATTACCCCATACTATCAAGGGGGACTGAAAAATTTCAAAGCAGAATAAAATTGTTTGAAATTGTAGAAACAAAATTTTCCAGTTCAACATGATTCAAAATGTTTGGGGGAGCTGCCATTTTGATAGTTTCATCTTTTCAGGAACCCCAAACCCATTTTTAAGTACCCATTCCCTATCCTTCTTTGATGGCTGGGGGAGATGGGTGTGAAATGAAAGCCAGAATGTTGGTCCTATTTTTCTGCTCTGCATTTAAGCACTTTGTTTTGCCTTCACAAGTAATATTAGGTATATTCTTTCACAATATGAGGGAGTATATTAATTTCCTGACACAGGAACACAGGATTGTGCCACAGTTTTATCACAGGTTGTTCTGTTTGGCAAATAGGATCACAGAGGCAAAAAGAATGAAGAAGGGCACAAATGTGTTACAAGTCAGTCTTCCTGGACAAGAACTTGAGGTGGAAACCAGTTGCAAGCCTTATATAGTGTGAGTGAGATCTGAGAGGCCTATATTATAGTAGTAATAACCAAAAGAGTTATAATAACTTCATATGGTGATTTAGTTCTATTGCATTTATACAGGAGTGTTTATAAGAAGGAGTAAGATGTTAGGAACTCTTTGCTTGTAAATGTTAAGGTAAGAATCTATCAGGTATCCCACTAGATGGAATTTTTTGCACAAAGAACTTGGATACCTCCATTGCTGAAGCTGAAGTGTTAGATCCAAGGCTTTCAAGAACTACAGATTATTTAAGGGAAATATAGATTTCACTCCCATATAAATAGGTGATGAAGAAGTTATGTGGCAAGCCTGGGCACCCAATACCTTGGAGGTACTCTAGACCATCAGTTCCAGCTGCTGCTTCTCAACATTATGTAACCGCCGTGAGTCCTGCATTATAGGGAATTATCTGAGATGCCTTAAGGCATCTCAAATAGCTCTAAATATCAGTATGGAAGGCCTACTAAATTAAGTCTACACTGACCTTACTGATCATCGCCAGGAAATAAATATGTACAAGGATATCCCAAGATGATGAAGTTCCACCTGAAAGCCCCTGTCCAGTTCTGGACCCCTTGCTACAAGAGAACATTGAGGTGTTGGAGCATGTCCAGAGAAGGGCAACAGAGTTGGTGAAGGGTCTGGAGCACAAGTCTTATGAGGAGCAGCTGAGGGAGCTGAGGTTGTTTAACCTGGAGAAAAGGAGGCTTAGGGGGAACCTAATCCCTCTCTAAAGCTACCCAAAAGCCAGGTGGGGTCAGTGTCTTCTCCCAGGTAGCAACCAATAGGACAAGAAAAAATGGCTGCCCAGGGAAATGGTGGAGTCACCATCCCTGAAGATATTTGAAAGATGTGTAGATGTGGCACTTGGGGACATGGTTTAATGGTGGACTTGGCAGTCCTGGGTTAACAGTGAACTTGATAATCTTAGAGGTCCTTTCCAACCTTAGTGTTTCTATGATTCTCTGGACATAAAAAGCAAAGGCACACCAATGCAGAGGCACTCCGAATCACTACAATTCAGTTGAAAAATCTTACTGCCTGCACAGATTCAGCTGTCAACACTAAATATTTGTTATTGTTGGGACTAAGAGCTGCTAGGACATACGAACAAGAAAAAATGTCATGGTTACAGAAAGAAAGCTTGATGACGGCAGTATAACCACAGAGGAGTTTTGTGTGTTGCCCAGCGGTGGCTGGCACTTAGTTGTTTTCTTCAGCAGCAACAACATGGGTTAGCAGCTCATCAGAGAAAGCACACAAGAGCTAGACATCTTGATCCAAAAATCAAAAACACAAAAACACAAAGGGGTACTTTTGAAACCTCAGTTTCTTCTGCTCTATCTGCTTCATCTACCTACATAACCACAGCAGTTTTGCATCTTCTTTGCAGGTTCCCAGGAGAGCAGCTTCTTTACTGCAGTGTAACCTTGCTTACTTTCCTGGTACCTTCAGCTTCCTTCTGTTCAGCTCTCTTTTACAGATCTACATTCATCCCACTTATTATGAATGTACCAATTTCTGTCAATTGTTTCTAACAGACAGTCTAGAACAAGTCTTTATCTTGAGTCATTTCTCAGATCAACTTTTGGGTCATGTTTGCCCATTTATGATGCTTTTGTGTTCTTTTCTACTTTTGCAAGTTTCAAAGGTGAGAAGATTTTATCAATCAGATACCTCACAGTTATATAGCAGTTATGTGATTTAACTTCAAATAGGCTTGTAAAATGCTGTGAGCTAATATAGGATTTCTTGTTGTCATCTGCTTCTCTTTGTGATGCCCTTATACTTCCACGGAAATTACTGGAATTTCAATACATGTGACAGATATATATTGGTATGTAGCCTATCACCAGGGTAATAAAACTGGGTTCACAGTTTGACTGATTCCTTCAGAATGGCATCCTGTATACTTTATAACTTCTTGAAAGGTGGTTGTATTCAAGTGAGGGTCAGTCTCTTTCTCCAGGCAGCAACTGACAGAATGAGAAGACACCATTTCAAGCTGCACCAAGGGAAATATAGGTTGGATATTAGGAAAAAGTTTTTTATAGAAAGAATAATAAAATACTGGAATGGTCTTCCTGGGGAGGTGGTGGAGTCACATCTCTGGGTGTGCTTAAAAAAAGACTGGATGTAGCACTCAGTACCAGAGTCTAGTTGTGGTATTAGGGCATGGGTTGGCCTTGACAATCTTGGAGGTCTCTTCCAACCTAGTAATTCTGTTGTTGCTGTTGTTGAATTTTCAGTTTTGGATGAATTCATGTTCTTACAGTCACAACCACCCAATAACCATTGTGTCCCTTGCTGACATCCTTACGTACAGAGAGAATTTTCTACAGAGACACCTAATGTGTTCATAACCTAACAGCTGTCTACTTTGACATGAAAAAGCAAATTCGAATGCAACCCATTTTGGCTAATTCTAAAAGATTTTCAAGCCACTTGTTGACGCTGAACAGCTGCTGTCAAGACAGAGAGCAAATTTGTTCCTTGCCCAGCCAACTACTTAGTGACTCCCTATAGGCAACAGCTTCCCAAGTGCTACAAAACCTCTGTACTGATTCTACAAAGCCATTTTCTCTGGGGAGTTGTAGACTGGAACATGGCCCAGGGAGTGTAGCAGTGTATGAAGGTATGGGTTAGTGCAAGGTTACTCCAAACTAAGAGAATTAGGTGGTCCTTCAGCTAACTACGCCTGCAAGGACTACAACACACACCACCAATGCTCCCATGCCAAATACAGTTGACTCAGAATCCTGTGTTGTAACTCTGGTGGTAGATACAGCATTTTGTCATTGCCTCTGCTATTCTGGTGAGGAATTTCAGACCTAAATTTCCCACTACAAAAGTCAGAGATACACAAAGTCTGATAAACTGCATCTCTCACATGCGTCCAATTTTGCATCCTGTGCTGAACTTAGCTGTGGAGAAGGAGCTCATCAATTGCATGATACTAGTTAGTAACTCTATGCATTTTATAATTAAAGAAACTGTCTATTTTTTCACAGAGTACAGAGGAAACAAAGAACACCTCAGAAATTGTTTGAAAAGAGACACTGCTCCCAGTTAAATGGTGTGAAGACCCACAAATGACTAACAGAGGCAAGATGTATAATCCCAAATATTTAGTTGATTCAGCACATGAAGCAGCTTATTGTGAGCCTTTATCTCCATGTGTATGGGCAGTCTGGATGCATATGCATAATTCATGTGTGTCCTATGTATAATTGTATAATTCAACAATGTCCTACTTTGAGATGTCAATACAGAACAATATTGATTGATATTCTCTGAAAAACTGAGTTGCAAAAAAAAGGTATTATATTGGCGGTTTATATTGTTTTATTTTTAATACTCATGGATAATTTCTCTGAATTCATATTATTACCTACTTTTTCTTTCATTTTTGTCCATCTCTGCTTCATCTTGCAAAAACTGTTATCAAAATTTTCTTTACACTGCTTCAGATAAGTAGAGTTTTTTTACTCCATGTTTTAAGGAACTCTGATTTTCATTTTCATATTAAAACAGCATCAGAATTACCAAAAAGCTTTCATTTTCAACAAACAAAATGTGATGCATGCTATCTCAGTTCAGTGGTGCACTCACACTAGAATTTAAGTTGGTGTCTAAGAAATGTTGTTAATACTACATTTTAATAAATTCTGAAGGATATTTAGAGAACCTTAGAATAATTTGGAAAATCAAATGATTTTCCATGAGAATGTTTTAGCCCATGAGAAATCACACCTGTTGGCTTAAAATCTGCTATGTAAATTCCATATTTGAAGCTGGAAACTAAACATGATCTAAATCTGTATCACATTTTAAAAGAATATTTCCTTGCCTTTTCTGCTCTTTGTAAACTCTGTGACTTCATTTATTCTTTGTGATTAAATGTTGCTTCTAATCATGCATATCATACAGATACTAAACCTAAACAGATTGAAGAAAAAAAAAATTCTCCAAAGAGCTCACCTTTAGGATGTCCAACCAGAGATTTTGGCCCAGATCATCCCTTAGATCATCATCTAACCTTAAAGAAGCTATGACAGTTTATACATTCTAAGCACTTCTCATTTTATTATTAAGAGATTTTACCCCATCTATCTTTGATAAAGCCTATCCATTCTAGAACTTATCTATAAATCATATTTCAAGCCTATAGTCATTTAATTTACCCTTTCTCCACCCCCATCTCCATTTTAACTGTTTCCTTTAGCACTCCAGATATTCCTGGATACATTGGCAAGGTTCATTGATCAGCAACTCACCCGGCAAATTCTAATCTTCCATCAACAGCCCCATCAGTAATTGCAGGAATGCATGGGTAGGTATGAGGTATATTTCTCAGCTTGTTCAGAAAAAAAATTATTTAGTTAAGGAACAATTAAATGTTACACATAACATTCTATTGACTTAAAAAATATAGAACAGTTGGGGTTGGATCCCACCACATTATTGTCATGCTAATCTGAAGTCCTTTTGAGGTTTTAGAATTTTTCTGGCATATTGTATGTTATGTGTTGGAAAGGTGACTTTTTTTTAAAACAAATGTCATTGTTTTTTTCAAAGAGGCCCATGAATGTCAAAGTTATCAATTCCCAAAAGAAAACTGTGTTGAGTTTCAAAACTGGGTTTGGCAGACTTATGAAACAGGTATTTGCTATGAAAAAATGGTTGTTAAAAATGAGTGGGTTCACTTAAAAGGCAGTGAGAAGCAAAGTCATGCCATGCTACCACACTGATGTAGCCCGGAAATCTGTGACTGTGAAATCATTATAGCTCCCTGTGATAGTATTGTCATAGTACAGCTGGCCAGGACTGGACAATGTAAATCTGACCGTAACACAAATTCAATTTGGCTAGCCTAGTTCATGCCAGAACAAGTCCCCGGACAAGTTACATGGTACCCTCAGCCATCCCCATTCAAACTTAGTAGAGAGCACATCACTGCCCAATGATCTGGGCAGAGAGATCCCAGCCAATGAGCTATCTAATCCTGGGAGGTTTGAATTGAGTAGTTAACTGAGCTCTAAACAATGAACAAGGCTGTTTTGTCTGATGAGCATCTGGATCTTGAGTAGTGGATTTCTGTCTCCCCACCCATGGCTGGCATGTAACAGCTCCCCATCAATATCATGGCTGCCTCATGAGGTGAATTAGAAATCTTTATTCTCTCTTGCTCTTCTATACAAGGCTGATTAAAACTGTGGGACAATATAAGTACTTAGATGTCTAACTTATTGATTTCAAAAGATCTGGATACTTCAAAATCGCTGAAAAATCCTTTTCCTTTCATTAGCATGAAGAGCTTCTGATGATGTCAAAGAACTAACTTAGCCTTTCTCCCTAATAGCTTGTAACTATTTGTTTCTCCTCTCTCTTTATGATTTTGTGCTTTAGATTCTGCTTTCCTGTTATCTATAGTGATCTAGGACATGGTGACACTTTTCCAAGTTTCCATGTTTTCCTGAGAAATTTATCTTCTAATTAAACTTTTAATTTGCCTTAGGATTCTGTTCACAACACACCACACTTTTTTTCATCACTCACTGAAAAGTATCCAGAAAAGGCTGAAGGAGATTGATGGAGCTGCATGAGTTTTAAAGAGTTATCAAGAGTTTCCCCATTTTCATGGATGCCCTGACTTACTTTTCTGCTGCCCTCCATCCAGTCACATCTGCTCTTTTCCTCTTGTGATTACACTTGGAAATTAGGTAGTCACCTGTAGGTATGGGCTGCTGTTGACAGGGAATGGAAAGATGCAACAAAATCCTGAGTCTCCATAATCTGATAAAGCTAGACTCAAAGCAGTCCCATGCACCTCTAAATTGTTTGTAAATGTCACAGACAAATAAAAAAAGCAAATACATCTTAGCAAAGATCATTGAGAGACTTCATTCAGGTACCAGAATTCAAGAGCAAAACTGACAGGCACCACTGTGATCTGAAGAAAACACTTCAGTTACTTCTTTTTACTTTTCACAGATGTTACTGTGGGTGTAGTTCACAGTGGAGGAATTTTCTTTATTTTTAGTGTATAGCAAGAACAGAGTTCTCATTCTGTGCTCCTGGATACTTTCTAGAACCAGGACAGGATCTTCTGACCTTTTTGAAGAAGGTTGTGTAGGAATAAACTGGCAAGCATAATCATATCCAGAGATTGCAGAGCAGGTTTTGCCACCCTTTGCCTGAGCTATATGGTACATTTCCCTGAGGCAACAGTATCCCTGATTGCAAAACTGTAATAGGTCTATGGTCCTACTTGTGGAGTAAGTTAGTGTTCACTAAGATAGGACATTCTAGTCTTTCATGGAACTGCTATATAAAATTATGATGGATGCTGAGAATCTCCCCTCAACAGTAGTTACTGATGCCCATAAAAGAGACATGCTTAATATTTGATTCCTTCACTTTATAAAATAAATTATAAAATTGCTGCTGATTTCAGGGGTCACAGGTAAAACTAGACTATAGTGGAGAGGTGAAGAGAAGAGAGATTATTCCCATAATTTGGGGTGAAACACTTTGCCTCCACTTGCTTTTGTGTAGGATGTGATCTCATCCTTACCATTTTTTATATGGTGGCCCCTTTCTTTGTCTCTTTGCTCATTCTTAAGCAATGATTGTAATTATTTCTAAGTAGCAAGCGATTGCATATGGTGGATGTTTCATAATGGCTAACTATAACATATGGCCAGTGTCCTGAAGACAACTATAGATATCAAATGGAGTCTCTTGTGCACTGCTAACCAGGTCTAATAATTATTCCTGTCAAAAGTATCAGCAATATCAGACAGACCAGGCAGCATGCAACCATTTCTGCACTGTATTTCTATTGCACGGTGCTCCCACAGGATGTACAGTAAAATCCTGTACACCAGTGTCAAGCGTTCTGAAGTCAACAGGATTGTGTAAGATACAAAACAGTAGAAATATGATTTTCTCATCTTTGAATATGAATAGTGATTTTATATGTCAAGCTTTATTGATGTATTCTTAATCTATTTTTATTTCCAGGTAATTCCAAGGTGAAAACAGAAAACTGTGTTTTAAAGTCCCCTAGTGCAATTAAATTCTGGCAGATTTGTTTAGCCTTTGCATAGGAAGGAATTTTTATGTGTTGTTTTGTCTTGTCTCCATTGCTACTTGGAAAATACAAATCCAACTGTATCTCAGGTTGCAAGGAACCCATTGGTAACCATAGTTAATCTAAGGAAGTCCTAGATTTTGTTTGATTATTGAGAGAAGCAACTTTCTTGATTATAGAGAGAATTTAGAAGCAACTTTCAGCAAGTTGCTTTGAAGATTTCAAAAGTTATTTCTAGGTAAAAAAAATGGTTTTTATGTGGAGAGTGAGTGAACATCAATGCCTGTGGTCAGTCCTGTGTCAGCCAAGAGAACTGGGCATCTAAAGCAGAGGTGACAGTGCCAACAAAATATTATAGAAGGCTTGAAAACTAAATCTCCAGCATGACCTTTAGGCAGCACAGGGGTTGAAAGCATTTGTCATGGTCATTGCAGGTCTGCATGTGTACTGTGCAGATTAGTTGTGAAACAGCTGTATGTGTGAGTGTGTGTGTCTGTGCATGTGTGTGTGTGTGTATATGTTCAAGAAAGGCTGGAGAAGTTCTTTAGGAAGACTTACTACCATTGATCTTAAAGAGGCTGATTCTAATACTATGGAATATTGCAAATTATTAATATTCTCTGAGGCCAATGGGCATAGGTGTTTGTGAAGAAAGCAGTGAGAGGGTAAAAGAGAGAATGTTTAGGAATATGAGAGCACATTTTAAAAGTCCTTTTTTTCCTTGTCTCTGTGTGACTGCAGATACACAGCAAAACATGGAAGTTGACTCAGTAGAAGTACCTAGGACTTTTTTCTTAACTCCAGTTCAAAGCAGAATAAAAAACTATTACAATGTGGAGAATGCCAGTCTTTTTTACCTGGATAACTGAGAGCCTCAGTGTCTGACAGTGAGGAGGAAGGAAATATATGAAGATCTGCAGACACTTTAAATATAGAACAAAAATAAAAAAATACAGAAGTGGGTATTTGTGATAGTTCTTATTGCATTATTCTCATATTTATGACTTACTAACATTGACAGTTAAAACCATATTGAGAACAAGAAGAGACAAAATTCAAAGTCTTGAAACTTGTTGTCTGTACTAGAGTGCCTTCTTAAGTAAGGTTGAAAATGATGCTGTAGCTGTTCCATACATTGACATATATATTTTGTGTACACACTCACACAAACACACACACACACACACACACACACACACACACACACACACAAATGTGGACTGTGGACACACATATATGAATGTATTATTAACTATGAAATCGTTACAGGGCAGCAGACCTTCTCAAACTGTTCTGAGTGTGCCTTGCAAAGATGGTTCAATGTCACAGAATGAGATTTTAACCTTTACCTGTACTGGCTTTGTGTGTGTAGTGAATAAAAGGAGCCAAGTTATGTTCCCTGGTTTGGAGGCTAATTAAGAACATGTTCCTTACACCCATGCCTAAATTCTTTTATGCTTAATCTGAATAGGAAAAATCTAAACATGGAAGATGGAGGACTTCTTAGGCATTTGTCTTGGTACTGTTTATTTTCTGATGTTGCTGTAGACAACATGAGGAAGGAGCATGCCAGAGAAAGAGAAGATCAAATACAAATTTGTCAGTCAGGAAGTTCTATTGTGCTCCAGGGGCCAAAATAGAGACAAGAGTTATTCTAATTCAGACAGCCTCGTAGATTCCTCAGAATGTTGTCCTGAGGTCTGTGGTGTTATCTGAATAATCTATATTTCTTCTCTGTTACCTCTAATGCTTGCTTTTCTCCAGTACAGGCTTCTCCAGATTTTAAGGTTCATACATGTGTCAAAACATTTGTAAGAAGTAGCTTTTTCACAGCCACTCAAGGGCTTTTGGTGAAGGACTACAAAGTGCACCAATAGTGAAAGACCCTTTCAAGAGTAGACTGAAGACACTGGAAATACTGAAAGGTAGGGAGAATAAACCATAGAGCTAAATGACACAAAATCCATAGAAACAACTAACATCCTTTAACAAAGGGATTAGATCCTCAGCAACAATAATGGGAACTAAGCATCCAAATCCCTGACATTGCTGTGCAAATCTCAGTCACAGATGATACATGAGCCCTTAGGGAATGTGAGATGACAGCTAAGCAAGACACTAGGGTATACCATTTCCCCCAATAAGACTGTATAAAGTTGTTTATCCTGAAGTGAACCAGAAAGATACCAGTTCTTGAAACGTCTGACTTACACAGAAACTTCTACAATTCTAGTTTTCTGTATTTTCTTCATGCACAAATCACCAGACACAGATTTTTAAAAGTGATGCTTTCATCTAATTACTTTTTCTGTATGTATTAAATTTATACCTAGCATGTACATGTGCAAAATTAAAGCACATGTTGAGGTGGAGGAAAGTTGCAACCTGCTTTTGCCTTTTGCTCTCCATTTTGAGCTACACATTTACACAAGCCAGTGAATATTTTAGATGAAAACATAGCCATTTTTGCAAATTTGGCTTATTATAGCCTGTCAAATTATTATGTACCATGTAAAAATATTTGTGGATTTGTAACTGGTTAAAAAGGCTATGTTGTTCTATGCTTGAGAAAAATTCCAGTTAAATCTTTCAGAGCCCCAGTTGTGTAGTGCAAAGAGTAATGTGACATTAGGTACAAATGTAGGAACTGTCTTTGTGCAATGCAGTGCAGTCTCACTGCTATATCTTGAACTGAAACTTAAATTTCATTCAAACTAGCTGCTTACAGATTATGTTTTAAGCCAACACTGGGCGGAGAACATTGGCTGCAAAGACAGATGCCATTGCTTAAGTAAGTTCAGTTTGGTTGCTTTATGTATAAAAACATTTTACACATGGCATAATTAATGCACGAGAATCTACGAATATGAGAGATATATTTAAAATGGGTGGGTTCTTGGTTGGATAACTCAGCATAGTTTCCTCTGACTTTATGGACTGATTAAGAGCCTCTGGCTCTAATGAGGAGAAATTGTGTCTTGGAAATCCTCTAGAGAAATCCAAATTGTAAAAAAAATGTAAGGATATTTTACATTTCTTCATACTGATGGATCAAGCTGAGGATATTAATTAAGAAAAAAATCCCAAAACTAAAGAATGAGGAGGAAAAGTATTTTTAAAGTTGCTTTCTACTTACTTTCACTTTCTCTAAACATTTCAATAAAGAATATAAATCTCTAGGACTAAGACCAAGTGCAAGAGAAATGCTTGTATCCAAACTAAAAAGAAATCCCTCGTTTCATTTATGGCATGTGCCACAATGAGATCCCAGAATGACCTGTGTCTCTGAGCCTGGAGCACACTGTAGAAAATGCTGATGATTTAAGACAAAGGGATGGGTTCTCATTCGGCAGTCTGACAACTGGTTTATTGAACACAGCCTCAAATAAGTTCAGGGATGAGAGCAAAGGATTGGGCAAAGGGCACACAGTTAAATGAAGGGCAAAAGGTTGGATCTGAGGTTTGAGGTCCAATAGGGACAAAGGAAAGTGGTTCGGGGGTGTGGCTAAAGACTGAGAGAACCAAGGGGATAACGGGGGTGGAGTAATGCAGCAAAACAGAGCCAATGGGGGTTAAGGGAAGGAAGAACATTCTGAGGAGGAGGGACGGGTACATAAATTGCAGATGGGGCTTAACAAGGGTGACGTGAATCCCCGCAAACCATCAGAACACCAGAATCCGAAAGACACTAACATGTCACTGCAAAAGGCCATGGAAACAAGGTTTTCCCCACCCTAACCTAGAGGGGCATTTCCCCTCTCCTATGCTGCCCCTTCCAGGGCTGAGGCACCCTGGCAACAGGCCCCCAAGCCTCCACAATTTCACCTAAAATAAACAAACTAAAACAACAATAATCATGTTTTCAAGCATTTCTTTCTGAATAAGTTCATATGATTATAAAAAAAATATTTTTTTCCCCTAAAATTAAAAGATAGTATTCCCTGAAATCTCGAGGAGGGAAAATTTTCATGTAGAAGAACAAAGAAAAGTAGTGATTAAAACATAAGTGTGACACACTCAATTTAAGGTCTAGTCCAATTCTGTTGGATGCAATAGCATTGCTCTTGATAGTAAAGACAGAAGGGGATTCTTGCCATCGTGTCCACCCTGTAACTAGCACCCACTTCATTTAATCTGAACCCTTCTAGATTCAAGAGATACATGGTATGACGATCTGGTTATTGCTATTTTATAATTTTACAACTCTTCCACCCTACCCTAAAGAGAATTAGCCCACATGTCTTTCCCTGGCCTGAATATCCTTTCACTTGATGCTTTAGCATAAGATAGAAAGTATATGTTAGAAAATTTATGAAAAAGAGTTTTATTAAATAATCTATTTTCCCTCAAATGAACAAGAAACCAGTGAACAAATACTTCGGTTCATGGGGCAACTTTTGCTTTCCATCTGTTATATGCCTTGCTGAATCATAGGTGGTGTTAAACTGTATGCAGGGTTCATAGAGCAGTCAAATTTCAAATCACTAGAAATTATTTTTGCAACTGTTCCTTTGAGAACAGATCCAAAAATTGACAGCTGTACGAACAGGAGCAGAGTTGGCTTCCGGTGTGTAGTAAAAACACTGAAAAACAATGTTGCTGTGAGAGAAATGGTTTCCTGGGCAGAATTTAGCTGCTTTCCCTCCTACAGTCATCTAAAGCCTTCTGAAAGTATGGTCTTCTAAAGCAGAGGATTTACACCATGCACAAATCACTACATTTGCATCTTGTTTCACAGGATTTCTCTTTAGAACCAGCAGGCTTTGGAAGTCAAATGATTTGAAGTCATTTTGTGTAAAGTAGTTGTTAGTATAGTGACCATGCTTTTAATATGATCACTTGGATGGGATGATGTCTTAAACCATTCTATTTATTTCTAAATATCTCTAAATAGTATCTATATATTTTTGTATGCATAGCTACTAAACCTTTTCAAATATATTTATGCATAATGCTGAGTGGATTGATCATAAAGATCTTGATATGGGAAAATAGGTACAATAGAGTAATTATCATAACTCTAGCTGAAGTTCATATTTTTTTAGACTAGATTCTTTTTCCTCTTGCTCGTTTCAGAAATACATATTTTAAAAAATTGCTTTCCTTTGGTTTGTTTGTTATTTTATTCCTAATGCTTCTCATCTGCCATGTAGTAAAGGTCATAGAAATATTAATGTACTTTCAAAGCAAGAGGACCAAAAAGCTTTGCTTTCAACATAGCTTAGAGTATGGAGATGCAAATTGCAAAAAATCAGTGGCCTGTATCTTCTCACAGAATTATTTAGTAATGAATATACCAAGTGAAAGAGAAATGTCTGTTGGGTAAACAATATACATAAACAACTTCATAGTAGGAAAATTATATAAGAAGCAGTGGTGATCCTAGCCTGAAATCTTGAAAATGACTGGAGAAAATAAGGTACTTAAAAAGAAGTCAGAAACCAAAAGCATTTAATAACTGGAAACTTTTGTTTGTTTTACTGTGGATGGAAACTTCTCTTATTTGATAAAGTGCAATTAAAACCAAAAATACATCATGAACAAGTAGTGAATTTGTGCTGCTTTCAGAAAGTGAGAGAATATGTACAATTTACTTGATGAAGTCTAGCAAAACAGAGGAGAAAAAAATGCTTAATTGGGGTATTCCCCTTCATTGGCGGCAAAAATCTCCTTGTTTTGTGCCTCAGCATCTCTTAGCCCTTGCTGTCTTTTCTGCCACAACAGCAATGTGGGATTCAAGAGGACTGACTTTCACCTTAGAACAGG